TGGAACAGGACAGGGCCAGGATGGGAAAATTCCCTGCTGAAGGGCAGACTCCTGTCTGCTGGGCAATGTTTACTCCTAACCGGTGTAGGGCTTCAGCTCAGTCCACACCACAGCCCACACTCTGCCTCTCAGGACTGAGCAGGACTACAGCATAGCTCCACTGAGAACCTGCAGAGCTGGAATCCCACTGGAATCATCCTTATGCTTAAGAGCTAGGACAATGCTTCTGCCTGGAAGGAGTTTAAGCTCACTGCATGTTTGGAGAAGCTGATGTAGTCCTAAACTCTGCTGTGTGTTAGGGCCACGGTTAATGTCAGTGCTAGGGAAGTGAGCACATTCAGGACTGAAATTCCCTGCTCCTTTCTGGCCTGACTTACTGGCTAGTCTTTCTGGATGGATCCTGGACTTGAATTGTCAGTAACCTCATCTCCAGTCTTATTTCTGCCCCTGTCTTTTAGATGGATCTCAGATTCACATTATTGGTGATCCTTTTCCCTGGATGGACCCTAGACTTGGTTGGGATACGACTTGGTTGGGATCCCACTTCAGGTTCTGTATCTCACATCTCTGTGCCAGCTCTGTTCCCTGATCTAGCTCCAACTTGCTCATGCGAGATCCCTGCCCTGTGTGACCTTGTTATGGCCCTCTGTGGCTTAGGTCCATGTTTTTATCCCAGCTTATGACATATTCTTGCCCTAGATGTCTGTCACCCCAAAGTAGCCTTAAGAGGACTCTTCTCCATCCTGGGCCCGCAAAAGCATTTCACAAGGAGTACAGCTCTGAAGCCAGGTGTTGCAAGGTGAGAGGTCACACCTTGTTGAGAGAAGAAGCTGTGGTCAAGGCCCTCAGTACACTAGTAGCCCTATAATTACCCTGGCCAGCCTCTGCTGTGGCCTCCACCCACACACCCTCCAGCCACAAATCCATGGGGATTTAGGCCTGGGCACCCAGACATCACCTGAGCTGTGCTGCAGGTGTGTCCCATTTCTTGTTGTCCTGATGTGTGGGTTGCTCTTCCTGCACGTCTTGTGAATTGACCTGGGCACAAGCAGTGTACTCCCAGCCTCTACCCTGCTGTATCTGGGGCTGCTGCTGGATCCAGCTACTACTATGTGCCTGTTCCCTTTCAGAAACTGAATAGCAGTGAGGTTCCACCAAGAGTCTGCTCACTAGAAAAATCCAGGGTGGTGAGGCAAATGCAAGGTTATGCTGGAATGACCAATGCATTGGATCTGCATCAGTGGGCTACACAGCTGGATTCAGGTGTGGCTGCAATGTAGCTCAGGTGGGAGGCAGGAGCTTTGGCTTACAAGCAGCTTGCCAGGAAAGGAGCAGGGAGCACCTTCTGAGGTGTGTCAGCAGAGCAAAAGCAGTTTCTGAATTTCCTCACAAGTTTTTACCACCTTGAGCAACCAGCTACACACACTGAAGGGAAGAGAGCAGGTACCATCCCCTACAGACTTCAAGGGGTTGAATTACAGTTCTGCCCTAGACCCCAGCCCTTTTCCTGCTGCCCAGGATTTAAGAAATATGTGGTTTTTTCTGGTGGAAATCCTGCTTTGAGGTGCCTTAGTTGCCTGACAACAGCTGTTAACTTAAATTTTACTTGGACAGCTCTTTGTATTTCACAGGCACCCAGCTGACTCATCAATTCACTTATCCGTACCCTGCAGCAAATCCCAGAGGGTTCATCTCAGTTTAAAACTCATTAGGAACTTCCTCTGCATCCTTATCCCAACCCTCATCCTATCTCTCAGGCTTCAGCAGACCCTCGCCCCACCCCCCACAAGAATTCCAGCTTGGAAAGAAATAATTTCCATCACCTGTCTCCTAAACTGGCAGACAAAGGAGGAACTGCCCTGTAATCCTAAATGTTTACTGAACTGCACATCTGTCCTGAGCACAGTTCTCATCCTAGCTGCCAGGGTCAAGGAGATCCTGAGGGGAACTCTTAGCAGTATCTTACAAAGCCCAGTCATTCCCCGCTGCTGTAGAAAAAGACACGGCTTTCTCCCAGCCCAGCTCACAGCTCCAGGTGGCATCTCAGGCTATGTAACAAAGTGTAGGTGCACAGGAGCCCTGTTTCTGGCTCTTTTCCTCAAAATTCCTTTCTTACCCCTCAAAGGCAGAGATTGTGCCTCTGACTGATGAACTCCTGTCTTTCAGAGCAGCTTCAGCATGACTTCAGGTAATGTTTGTATTTCTCAGTATGCATCTGGCTGACTCAATAGCTAACATATGCCAGTGTGAGTGAGGAAAAAACCCCTGTGACCAGTAAAGCTGCCAGATGTGTAGCTTTATCTGCTGTGATCCACATATATAACTGTGACTTTCCTGCTGTATGGCACATTGCCAGTGTATGCATAGGCTGGGAAATGTGCAGCTGTGGTGTAAGCACCATCCAGAGCAGCCCATTTTTGTGAGACAGGGGCTCTTACTTCAGGTGCAACAGCCTCTCTGCTGTGACTTACAGTGTGATGACTCAAGTACAGCTACAAAGCCAAGCTATCTGTTCAAACCCACAACTTCTGACTGAAGCAGCAGGATTTGTTTTCCCTTTTCTCTCAGTCAGTTCCATCCTGTTCATGTCAAGGGTGAAGATGGAAAATGTACTGATTTATAATGGGAAAGTATCAAGAGTCTTTGTTGTTTCAGGAAAATGTTCAATTTTCACTAATCAAAAAAGAAAATACTCTGGAAAATGACAAAAATTTAGGAATTCTGTCAGGTCTAGAATTTGATCTTTGTAGCCAGTTTCAGTATTTACTCAAAGCCTGTTACTGGACAAAAATGCAGATCAGCTCTGTGGGTTTATAATTGTGAATTTGACTTGTTTCTGCATAATAAACTAGACAATGGCTTTTTAGCTTAAGTATATTTATTCATAAATATATTAGTAGTTTATTTCCTATGTCCACAACATAACTTAGGTTGCATGAGAAAAAAAAAGGTACCTTGCTGCAAAGGTTTCCTGTGGGATGTGATGAAGTAAGATATAAAACTGCTATTAAAATTTTAAAAATAAATAAATCAACCCCTTCAGCATCTACATAGTGGAGATGTAATAATCCACATTGCAAACATATGCTGAGTCAGGACTAAGGACCTGTTCGTATTGCATTTCAAGTTTGACTAGCAAGCAGTTATGGCACCTTCATTATGCCATTTCACTTTCTTGCATCCTGGTTTCAAAGAAGGGATAAATTAGCCTTCCCTCATTTCATAAAGCACTTCCAGAGTTACACATCTAAATCTCTAGCACTAGGAATTATGGCTATATTCCAAATAAACACATATCTTTTTGAACAGATTAAAGAGCTGGTATATCATACTACACTCAAGCTATGAAACACATATGATTACTGGCACTTTATTTCCTAACAAATAAACCCAGAGATTTTATAAATGAGACACAATTAACATGCATGAGATTAAAATGAAATTAGGAAATATTAGTATGTATTTGTTATGTAAGCATGCATTTAATTAATGTATAGTGCTGAATGGCATGGATTTTAAAAATAAACACTATAGAATCAGACAGCAGGGAAGTAAGATAAGAAAGTTGCTGAAATTAAAAGTTTTAAGGTTTTCTGAACATCTTTAGTACCCCCAGCATTACTGAAACTGATATTCAGCAGCCTATCCTGCACTTTTATGGAGAATGCAGGGTTTTCCACCAGCAATTTGGTTTGAATATATAGCCTAGCATAGTGCTGACTAGAGAACTGATTGTTCTTTAGGGGCTCGCATGAAACGAGCAGGGATATTTTTCTGGCTCCCAACAATCAAAAGTCTACAGCACAGTTAATATTTACCCAGTGAGTAGCATACACCAGTGTTTTCACTCTGGATGCCAACTACTAAACTTAACCTTCTGGAGTCTCATGCCAGCATAACCAGTTTTGAACTCTGAAGAACTGGAAAAAGCTGTGTTTTGTGCAGGGATGCTGCTGGCAAACCTGTTTTCACAGTTTCTCTTGGTTCAGCTGCAAGATAGTTCTCACCATTACTATAAACACGAGAGAATAAACTGCTATATGATTCCTGTAATGTAAAGTGTTATGATTTGAAAAAGTGTTCTGAAATGGGTGACAGATACACAGACTTAGCTTGAAGCCCTGAAAAGTTTCAGACAAGTCTTGGCAGTCTGAAGAGGCTCAGGGTTACAGGGTTTATCACAGCAAAAGCCTCTCTGCCGTTTGGCCTCGTGTCAGGCCAGGCCCGGCCCAGAGGTCACCCCCTCAGTAGGTTCTGGGTGTGAGGATGGGCATTTGATGTGCTTTTTACAGAATCACAGAACCAATTAGGTTGGAAAAGACCTCTGAGATCATGGAGTCCAACCTATGATTGAACACCCCACGTTAACTTCACCATGGCACTCTGCCTCCTCAGTGCTGCATCCAGTCTCTTCTTAAATACCCTCAGGGACAGTAACTGGGCAGTCCATTCCAATATCTAATCACCACTTCTGTCACGAAATTCTTCCTGATGTCCACCCTAAATCTCTCCTGGTGTTGATTAAAACTATGTCCTCTCATCTTGTCACTGGTTACCGGGGACAACAGACCGACCCCGACCTACAACTTCCTTTTAGGGAGCTGTAGAAAGTGATGGCTCCCCATGAGCCTCCCTTTTTCTGTGCTAAACATCCCCAGTTCCCTCAGCTGATCCTCGTAGTTTTTGTGCCCCAGACCCCCCAGCAGCCCTGAGGCGTCTCCAAAGCAATGCGTGAAAAGGCAGACAGCCCTGCTCCAGCTACGTGTGCGGCTCGGCCCTCCAGAGACTCAGTCGCAGTCGGGCCGGGTGGCGCTCCTGAGGGAGGATGCGGCACACGGGGGTTTCCCTGGCGGGGACAAAAGCAGCGCGGCTCGCTCCGGCCCCTGCCTGCGGCCGGGCTCGGCGGGCGCCTGCCCGGCCCCGTGGGCGGCGCGGGGGCGGCCCGTTCCCGCCCGGCCTCCTGCGGCCCCGCCGCTCGCCGCAGCCGGGCCCGCTCCGCCATGGGCGCCGCTCGCCGCTCCCGCCTGCCGCTGCCGCTGCCGCTGCTGCCGCTGCTGCCGCTGCTGCTGCTGGTGGCGGCGCTGGGGCCGCGGGGCCGCGTCTCGGGGCAGCTCCGCTCGCCGCCGCGGTGGCCGGTGCCCTACAGGTGAGTGCCGCCCGAGGGCTCTTCTGCTTCTCTGTGCATTGGACTCGAGAGGCCGGGGGAAGCTTCCCTTTTTCGTCTCGGGGTGTTGATCCTTGGCAAGGTGCTCGGCCTGTTTGGCTCGCCGAGGGAGCCGCAGTGCCGTGCCAGGCCGGGAGCTGCGCTTGGTCTCAGCAGCGGGAGGGATTGGTTCCCTGGGAAGGAATGCTCGCGTTTAAACGCGTTCCTTAATGCCCGCAGAAAAGGCGGTGATGAGGAAATCGGGGTACGGTTTTTTGCTTGGAAATTTCACTTAACGTCACGCTTCGTGACAAATGAAACGGTACAAAATCCCTTTCGCTGCTCCGGAGCTGCCTGAGCTCCAGAATTCCTGGTGGTGTCGGGGACAGCAAGGAGACTGCATGCTGTGGCCTGTAAATAGCGATGGATTTGGCGGTGCCGAGGAAATGAGCCCCTTCAGAAGAAGCGCTAGGCTCGACTGTGTATTTTGTGCGGGTTTGCTGTTTGTAAAGGGAGTAGTTATCAATGTTTAACTGCAGCTTAATAATGCACACCTGAAATTTTGAGAGCCTGTTGCATAATTCCCAGCAGTTAAATTTGCATCAGGTGATGCCTGAAGGAGCTGATCTTGAAGTCCTGGATTGTTGGGATTTTCCAGCAAGTTCAGGAATTACAAGACTGGGTCTTGAGATGGTAAGTTTTGGAGAACAATCCTGTTGGTGTAAGATGCTCAGAAATGTAGGGTTTCAGTGTTTCTTAATGTTACCTTCTTGTCACATGCAAGGTGTAGTGCAAGGGGTCATGTAAGGTGTGCAACCTAGAGATAGGACTTGAATGTGTGATTGGCCTAAGTTTTTGTTTTCTGTGTGTTTTTTTTCAGACATACTCGTTAGGGTTTTGGGGATTGTTATTCTTTTTCTTTTCTTCCCCCCCATCCCCGCCACTTCCTCCCCACACCTTCCCCCAGACAAAATAAAGGCAGACTTGCTGGGAGTTCCCAGCAAGCATGGGGAAGAAGTCCACAGGGGAAATCAGCAATGCCTCAGCTGAGCTGCTGGCTTCAGTATTGCTCAGGAAGTGCTGTGTCCTTGAGTCATCTCAGGGCTGGGGTATTTGTGTCACTAGCCCTGGGCAGCTGAGTGTGTTAGACTCTCAGACTAACCAGACAAGATTTGGACAAGCTGTGTATGCCAATTTGTCATGGTAACAGGAATACAGGAACCTTATTTTAAGTGAAATACAGGAGTGATTCTAAAGGAACTTAGAATAAGAAGGCTTGTTCCAGTGGGTTGATCCTGGCTGGATGCCAGGTGTCCAACAAAGTCACTCCATCACTCTCCTCCACAAGTGGATAGGGGAAGGAAAATACAGTAAGGTATAGGGTATTTTGAGGGTTCATGAGTTGAGATAAGGAGAGGGAGAGATCACTAACCAAATACCATCACAAGGCAAAACAGACTCAGCTTTGGGATATTAATTGAATGTATTGCTAACAAAATTGGAGCAGAATAATAAGTAGAATAAATCTTAAAGCCACCTTTGCCCCACTCTTCTTCCCAGGTTCTGCCTCCTTCTCCTAGTGCTGCAGGGAGGTGGAGAATTGGAGTCAGGCTCATTTCATCAGATGCTGTTCCTGCTGCTGCTCAGGGAGAGGAGTCCTTCCCCTGCTCCAGCATGGGGTCCCTTCCACAAGAGACAGTTTTCCATGAACTTCTCCAACCTGAGTCCATCCCACAGGCAACAGTTCTTCATTAACTGCTCCAGCATGGGTCACTCCTCCATGCAGTCCTTCAGGCACAGTCTGCTCCCACATGGGTACCCCAGGGGGTCACAAGTCCTGCCAGGAAGCCTGCTCCAGCATGGGCTTCTCCCCCCATAGGTCTGCAGCCTGCTCTGTGGGGTCAAAGGGTTCTTTAAATGGGTTTGTTCCACAGGCTGCAGGGGAATCTCAGCTCCAGCTCTTGGAGCAGCTCCTGCTCCTTCTTCTTCACTGACTGTGGTGTCTGCAGGACTGTGCCTCTCACATATTCTAACTCTGTTCTTCTCTGGCCACAATTACATTGGTGCAATAACTTTTTTTACTTCTTAAATCTGTTATCACAAAGGTTGTGCTGTCATTCCTGATTGTCTCAGCCCTGCCCAGTGCAGGGTCCATCCTGGAGCTGGCTGGCATTGGCTTTGACTGACATGGGGCAGCCTTCTGGCAGCTTCTCACATCAACCATCCTTGTACCCTGCTACCAAAACCTGGCCACACACGCTTTCATACACTTGCCAAAAACATTCTTTGAAGTTTGATTATAGTGATAACAGGAAGTGGATTGGGTCTTTGGTTTTTGAGGTTTAATAGGAATGGAATAGAAGCAATGACCCCAGGTATGTTCTTAGACCTCTTTATCTAAATTAACATAGAGGGATTAATTCTTTTTCTGATCTTGGCAATATTGTAGAGTCAAAATAGCTGCATCTGGGAACCTCTTACTATAGAACAGCAAGAACAAAGTGGTCAATCCCCATATAAATAAATTGCCAGGAGAATGTTTTTGAGGCAGATCTGAAACTATCCTTTACTCAACATCTGTGTGAGTGATCTTGTGAGAATGTCACCCTTTGTAATCCGCATTATTTCTACTCCTTCACAATGAGTATAACATGATTTCCGTTTGTGAGCCTTAAGTCCCGAAGTCCTGATTCTGCAGATGTGCACCCCAGCAGCCTTATGAACTTGAGAAGTCCAACTGTTGCAGTGTCTGGGTCACAGAATCTGTCTTTGAGGTGCTGGACACGTAAGCTGTCCCCCTCAGGAAGCCATGACAGTAACTCCAGCTGCAAAGCTGCACTTGTCATTCCGTGTGCTTCTCTTTCTCAACACAGGCGCTTTGATTACCGTCCAAAAACCGATCCTTACTGCCAAGCTCGTTACACCTTCTGTCCCACTGGCTCTGCCATTCCAGTCATGAGAGAAGAAGATGTCATTGAAGTGTATCGATTACAGGCTCCAGTATGGGAATTCAAGTACAGGGACCTACTAGGACATTTGGTAAGGTGATGTTTTTAACAAAGTTAGAGTAACAAATTCAGCTGAATTTAACAGCAGGTGTTAAGAATGGGAGCTCTAAGGTTGGGATATGCTTGTATGGAAGACTGTTAGAGCTGGGCTATCTGTAGGGAAGATACTCAAAGAGCATTAAGTTTCAAATAAAATGTACAGGATTCAGCTCAGCTAAAGACAAGAGCATGAACAGCATCGTTGCTGGGTTTGAACACGTTCCCCTGTCTAGCTGCATAATGAGTGCTTTGTGTACACACACACATTGTGTCTTGGATGTCTTTTCTTCTGTGCTATCACCGCATCAAGAAAATACTTTTATTTGTCCCCTTACATCAGATAAAATAGTTGCTTAGTGTATTGATGAGCCTCCCCTCTCAGCCCCCCAGATTACTAGGCTAGCACAGATATACGAGGCCTTGAGGGAAGGCGAATCAGGAGATGGGCAAAGATACAAAAGAGGCTCTAACTCCCTGATGTGGTTCTCCGAGCTGTTTAATCAATGAGATGGGTGAGAAAAGAGTGAACAGGAAGGGACACGGCCTTATCTAGGCTCTGGACAGGGAGGGCTTTCTGGCTCTCTGCCAACCCCATCGGAGCAGGAAGGAGGGGACCACACTTATCTGATCAGAGTCACAGGAGTCACTGGAAATGGGGAAAGCATAGCTGGAGCGCACTGTAACAGTGTATTAATTTTTCTCTTGTTAGAAACTCACATATTTGCTTGGAGGAGCAGGCAGCCAGCTGGTCAGAACAGTAGATCATGAGAAGTTGGTTGCTTTTACACTTCTTTCTTGAGTGTTATGATCAGTATGAAATTGAAGTGTCCATTCATGGAGTCATGCAAACATGAAGTCTCAGCTTTAGTAATATTTATAGTTATAGCAGTAGTAAAACTCATCTTCAAAGCATGATTCTTAATTAATAAAGAAATGTTAGTGAATCAAAACCAAGCACAGAGTCAAAAATGGAAATAGATTCAAATATTGTTGTCTCAGTTGTTAACTAAGTTTGGATTTATGTTTTTACTATACAGCTTTTAAATAAAGTATTTATATCATTAGTTTTATGACATTCATTAGCAAGATCTGGTTTTGGTAACTTGGTTCTGCTCTTTATTTCTCTGATACCCCCATGAAGTTAAGGATTCAAAGCTTGAGTCTTGATGATGAGCTCCCACTGAGTATCTGCTTCCAAGTGACATAATTTACAATGGATGGATAGACAACCACTGAGACAGCATGATGCCCTGAATAAAAAGTATGTGTGTCATGCAATCTGGTGTGTTGTGCTTCAGTGTTACTGAATCCCTTGTAGGAACTCCTTCCCCTCTTCTCACCCTGTCACAGAATAGCTCCTGAGCATCTTACCTTTTGTACAGGTCAAGCTGAAGTTGTTATGAAATCAAAGTTTTGGTGGTTTGGTTTTTTTGGTTTTTTTTTATTTTCCAGAAAATTATGCATGATGCTGTTGGTTTCAAGAGCTCTCTAACAGGCAAAAACTACACAATGGAGTGGTATGAGCTCTTCCAGCTTGGGAACTGCACATTTCCACATCTGCGGCCTGGCATGGATGCACCATTCTGGTGTAACCAAGGAGCTGCCTGCTTTTATGAAGGAATAGATGATGCACACTGGAAGGCAAATGGAACTTTAGTTCTTGTGACCACAATATCAGGTAGATTTTAGATGCTTTGGATAGTGTTAATACAAAATATAGAGTCAGCCTTGTCTTTGTAAAGTGCTATATTTTAATTTATGTTCTATAGGTTATTTGCAGCACTAGTCAATGATTCTAATTTGAAACACTCTCTTGAATACAGAAAGTGGCATGAGGCTGCTGCCATTTTAACAATTCACACTGGAGAGTTGTTAAGTGAGAGCCATTTGGTGTTGCTGTACAAAAACACTTGAGTCTCTTGAGTGTAAAAATAGCAAAACAGCTTAAACAGAGTCATTATGAACTCTTTTCACATGGCTTCATGAAAACAAAATCTTATATTGTGAAGTGGCAGATGACTGCTGAGATAGAAAAACTGTTGAAAACATGTTTATTATTGAGCAAACAAATAAGGCATATTTAGAAATAATCTCAAAGATATAAAGATATTAATCTCTATTTCTGTCCCCCTCATTATGTGTCCTAAAAATTGAAAATGTCTCCAGTAATAGGTCTCTGTCATATGTTACAGAACAAACCTAGGCCTTACGCTTCAAAATACATAGGTAATGACCAGAAGAGTTTCCTGGTGTATATGGATCCTAAAATAAAATCCTAAAATAAATCCTGAAATAAAAAGGTCATTCAAATAAATCTGACTGATTGCTCTAGCAATAGAGTGAACGACTTACAAAAAAAGTTCACTGAGGACTTGGGTAGTTACATTTTGTGTGACCAAAACCACTTAGGTTCCGAAGTTGGTGTAGTGTGCAAGACACAGTGGAGAGTTAGCTTACAGCTCTTGTGACATGGTGCTTTATGTGTGCCCACTTCCATCCTTAGCAGCTTTGCTGGCCTCAGTCTCTGCATAATCTATCCAGTGCTGCTAGGAACTTCTAGGCAGCTCTTTAAACAAGGAAGTAAAGTGGAGCTGCTTTCCTGTGAGTTTGTAGTTCATGACTGAAGTATTTGATGCCTGACATGGTTAGATTCTTTTGTATGAATATCAAGTTGAAATTTTTCATACAGCTGGGGAACTTGTCATGCTTCCTCTCTCTGTGGATTATTTGACGCCCAGGAAAGGTGAGGCTACACTGGCACCTTGTGGAGGCATTACAGTCCTCCTCACCTCTCTTGCTTTCCATTTCCATGAAACTTTCAAGGAGGTAGCATTTCTGAGAGTTTTCAGTTGTCTAAATTTTACAAAAACTGTAAGATTTCTAGTCAGAGAGGGTGAGTGGATTCAAACAAAAATGAACAGCATCATGAGCTGCACTTGCTCCCTTCAGAGAGCTGGCAAAAAGCATCCCATCTTAGTGGTCTTAACATCCCACCCATAATTTGGCTCAATTCAGCTTTGCCAGCTGTGGAGCTGCTAAATCAGCAGGGTGTCTCAGTCTGAATCTCTTTTGTGAAGAGACATGAAAATTTCTACTCTGAATTTTTGAATTTAGTTAAAACTTGAAGTGCAGAAATGTCTGTTGGTCTGGTGAGCATTTTGTCAGCATCTCTTGTAGACTGTACTACCTCTGCCCTGTTTGTCTGCATGGATAATGCAAAATGAGAAGTGTCACGGTTCTCTGGTGTTTGAATATTCTGGCATAGTAACAGGAGAAGGATCAGGAGAAGGAATTACAGTTTAAATAAACTGCATGTAAATATAGTTTATTCAGTTGGTTATCCCTTGCCCCTCCGACCTAAGCCCTGTGTCTGTGTATGGTGAGGTAGTGTAGGTAAACTTGCAGGGGAGGCAGGTGAATCCTGCATTTGTTACCTCATCTCTGCAATACTTCATTTCATCTCTTTCAGGAACCATGTTTAATGAAATGGCACAATGGGTAAAATACGACAATGAGACTGGCATTTACTACGAGACCTGGACAGTTCAAGCAAGTCCCGACAAAAAGTCAACAGTGTGGTTTGACTCTTATGAGTGCTCCAAGTTTATACTGAGAACCTACCAGAAGCTAGCTGACTTAGGAGCTGTATTTAAGAAGATACAAACAAACTACACAAGCATAATTTTGTTCAGTGGAGAACCTATTTATTTGGGGAATGAAACATCTATTTTTGGACCACAAGGAAACAAGACACTGGCAGCAGCTATAAGAGACTTTTACAATCCATTTAAACCTCATCAGAGTGTCAGAGAGTTTTTTGTGGATATTTTCAAAATAATTGATCATGTTATCTTTAAGCATCAGTTTTATCTCTTCTACAACTTGGAATATTGGTTTTTACCTATGAAGTCCCCTTATCTTAAAATAGTTTATGAAGAGGTCCCTTTGCCTGTTGGAAGCAAAGCATCCTTTGGTGTATGACTGACTACTGAAGAACAAAACTTGCCTCCATGGCACAATATTCTTAAGGACTTTAACACCATGATGGTGTTAAAGGGTTGTATGTTTCACTGCTGACTGTAAAAAATTGTTTTGGGAGGGCTTTGCTGTACCAGGTGACAGACTCTGCATTTGTTTTCTTACTACCTGTATAACACATTAATGAATGCTTCAGCTTCTCTGACCTGGCCAGCTTCTGTGTATCCATGGCCCCCGGCTGCCTGAGGGGAGGCTGCAGTGGCTCCTCTGGCTGAGCTCTGCAGTGCCAGAGGGGGAAGGGGGAAGCAGCTGCCTGCTCTTGGCTCAGGTGCTCTTCACATGCATGGCCACGTGGCAGCAGATGGCACCTGGCCACCAGCAGAAGTGGGACACAAGTTACAAGGACTAACTCACTCAACATGGGTGTCTGGATGTGTCCAGTTCCTTCAACATGTGCCTTACACTGATGTTCCTGTAGTTCTTTGGTTTGTACAGCTGGGACCTATGGACTATTCTCTGGTATTCTGGGGCAGTGAATGTACTGGAAGATGGCAAGGGTGATGCTTTTTCACCACTTTTCTTCCTTCAACTGCACTGTAAACACAATACAGATGGCTCTTCTTCAGTTTCATGTGTGTTTTGTGGCACAGGTAAAAGCCTAACTACCTGCCTTGATGCTGCCTCAGGCATAATTGCAGTGTTCTTCCAGTCTACTATCTTGAAGTCTACTTGAGGCTTCAGTTGGTCAGTTTTGTAGAACTTTTGTATATTCCTTTCTAATTTTTTTAAAAAGCATAGAAATCTTAATATGAAAGAAGTAATGACAGCTTGTTGGGTCATCAACATTGGAGATAAAAATCCATGCTTGTCACAGAGCTGTCTCTGAAATGTGACTGCAGCCTCTTGCTGTCAGTGATATTTGCAGTAGTGGTGCTTTGCTAGCTGTGTTGTCACTGGGTCCCGTTCCAGGCTCAACTTGGAGCACTTTGGCAACTAGTTAGTTCCCTTTAAACCCAAGGGACCAAAGCCAGAGGAACACTGGCTTTCTGGAAACTATTGAGGTGCCTGCACACTGAAAAACCGCAGCTGCAGCAATGTAATAATTTCCATGTGTTCACTGCTTGCTTGGATGTTTTGGTTTTTTTTTTAAACTAGCTGTGGGATAAAAAGTGCTCCTGCAGAGGTTATTGCTGTTTTGTGGGCAAGCAGGAACACAGGAACGCAACTCTGCAGTTTCATTTGGCTTGAGCCAAGCTAATACCCTGCTACAGCCAGAGACGAGAGTACACAGTGCTTGGATTCAAATAATGAGTGGCAGAAAATTACCCTTGTATTCAAAAAGTCACTAAAATTAATTAGTTGAATTGCATTATCATGTAATGCGATGAGCATGAGAGATAATGGGAGAAAAATGAGAGGATGAGCACACCTTTCTTCAAGCTACGTGAAACTTCATCTTTTACCAAGACTGAAAGACTTGAGTCTTTTTTTAGCCAAAGTCAACAGGCCCTTGTGACTGAGCTCATCTTTGGATTAAGATACTGTCATGGTTTCATCCCAGCCAGCAATCAAGCACCACACAGTAGCACCAGGAAGGTAATCCAAGAGGCTTTAGGGAAGTGAAAGGGGCTGCAGCAAGCTAATCTACAGAAGTTACATTCTCATTGACACATATTTTCATGTCTTTGAAACCCTCAATGTTGTTAAACCCTAAATGTTTCCTGTTTTCCCAGGAAAAAGTCTCAACATCAAAAACCACCGTTCAAAGCTCTGAAGGGGAAATAGGATCACAGAGCCAGGCTCATAGATCACACTGCCAACCACGTGAGGATTCCTCCATGCAGCGTGTCTGTTTCACACTTTGACAATTGGTACCTTTAAAGTGAGGATAGCGTTCAACATAGGAGTTGCCCTTTATATAACATACATGAGTTCCTTCTGAGGCCAATATTTATGAGAGAGCTCTCACGTACTTTACTTCTCTCTGTGCTTGTTTCTGCTCCCTGCTTTTATGCACATTGCACTTGAGGGCAAAAACATAAAATCATTCTGTACTACAGTGATTTCCAAATCTGCACGCTGGTCTTGTGCAAAACTGCTGCATTGCCACACCTATGGGCTGCTCAGGGTTGTAAGCCACATTTCATTCCAGGAGAGTTCTCCAGCAAAGCAGATCTTGGCTTATCATCCATCAAGATCAAAATCTCAAAGCACCATACAATGAAAGTCACTGGTACCAATGCTCTCTGCCTTCCCCCTCACAAATCCACCCCCAGATGTTCTAGATTAGGAGAGCTGCTGCCTTCAGTATCTTAACTTGTAACTTCTTGGATTCAGAGGTAAGATTTGTCTCTGCACGTTAACTCCTACCCAAAGCTGGATAAGTGAGCCAACACTTGAGTTGTTATTCTGAAAAAAAGAAATAAAGGTGATCTTGGGGAAAATGATATATGTATGACACTCATGTTCAAGTTTCTAATGAACTTTGTGAGTCTGTGGTACTCTTCACTACTTGTGCCGTGATTTATAATGTATTTACTATTAATTTGTTTCAACATCTAGAAGGCAAAAGAAGACATACAGAACTTGCTCAAAAAGCACTGTAGGCTTGCTTGTCAAGTTTATGTTATAGTTGGATTATTTGAATGAAGGATGCAGTAATTGACTGAATGTATAAAAACTGCTGGAAGAACTGCTCTCCCATGGAAGAGAGAGACAACTGCTTTTAAGCAGTTTTCTGGTGCTGAACATCTTAATAACCAGTGTAATGTGGTGTTGCATTCAGGAAGGACTTTTTGAAGTTGGTGCGACAACAGCCTTCTCAAAGCCGGCCAGTTACCTTGCTGGGGAAGCAGTTCTGCTTCAGCCAACCCTGCCACCTTCAGCTCCTAATACGTTCCTCACGCTACGGTCTGACAGAGGCCTCTCTGGCAGCAGCGGAACACTGCATTTCCAAGGTGTGACTTCCAGGAGTGGGATCTGGTACTAAGGCTGTGCCTTGCCTTTCATTACTCCCACTACCAACACCTTGGTGACTTACCTTGCAGCATCAGGACACCTGCAATCAAGGGCCAGAGAGTTTTGGCTCCATTACTAATAGTATTTCACATTAATTTAGTGAAAACTAAATCCTATTCCCCAGACTACAAGTGTTACTCCATCTTTCTCATACAGGCAGTTCTGAGAGTCGGGTTATAAAAGACACAGAGCTTTTTTACTTTTACGGACTAAATATATTGACACCTTTTGTACAAATAAAAGCAAATTATAGTATTACATTAATTTAACAAATTCTAATACAAAACCCGGGTATTTCATAAAATGCAATTTTAAAATCAAAGCTCTACAGAAACATACAACTCCCCTATAAAGATGTCCAGTCTGCTGAGCATTGTTTGCTCAAAATATAGCTATGAATTTAAATACACTCATAAGTGTATTACACTGAATTATACATTTGGATAAACATGACTGAAATCAGAGATGAAGGAAACCTACTTATTACCAGAGGGAGCTGTACAGTGCAAGTGAGAAGCAGCCACCAGCTAAGCTCAACCCAGCCCACAGGGGCAGCTCTGCCTTGCTGAGGGCTGACCACATCTCCCAAATATGCAGCTGTCTGGGCAACACTTCAATGTTACCATCAGCAACCTCAAAGAGAAAATAACTGTTGGCAGTAAGAAATGAAGTCACAAACCACATCCAGATCACAGGCAGTGTCTTGCCTACACCACTTACAAACTAAAACTTTCTTTAATAAAACTGATTTATCAAATATTCAAAACAAATTTTTGCCTATTGTTCTACTTCACCAAGTCTACTCCTTTTGAATTGTTAAACATTATGAAATGACTGAACTAGCTGAATTAAAGGTATACAAAAATTATCATCTATCAAACATCCACTTTATACATAAACATTTCTGAAACAGATTTACAGTATACAGTTAGTTTATACAGCTTAAGCAACTGTTCCAATGTCATTTCTGTCAAACCAAAAGCAGCCAAAAGGTCTAAGGTTTTATGACAAGGTCCTTGGTCAACATTCAAATTTTACCTTTCTCACCTCACACTGCTCACACCTATGTCATCAGAATAACATTGCTGGGTTCATTTCACAAACCATACATTATTCCATCCCACCATATGCTGCCAAACTGGTTAATGTGCAAGAAAAGCTCATTAACCCCAGTGTGGTTTTAAATACAATGTATCTACATTTTTTCCCAGAATGCTTTCGCTTCCTGAGCTAGACATAAAATACCTTAAAACAGGTTTAGACGCAGATCTGAGACCCCATAAGCAAACTACATTAAAATGCATAGAGTGTGGAAAAAACCCCACACCGCTTTTGGTAGCTCACACTACTGGTTGTTAGCGCTCTAAATACATTTTAGATGGATCTAATAATCTGTTGAATAAGGTGGTAAACTTACTACTTTAGTTGTCTAAACTTATTATTGTGTATTGCTCTTGCCTTTATGACTTAACAGAATGTGTGTATTTCACAGGCTACTAAACACTTCTTATAATCATCTTGTCATCAAGGTGACTGGATTTAGAAATGCTACAGTCTGTAACAAAAGCACGCAATTTTGGTAGGGCTTTGCTTAGCTTTTTAAGATCAAATATGATTGTGTCCAATACTAAATCAAAGAAAAACAGCATATGAAAACTGGTATTTTGCAAGTGCATTTCAATATTTTAAATAATTTTTATTTTGAAAAATATCTGAGGTCACCTTTAATGACAAAGAATAAATCTAAAACAAAATCCTGAATTTTGTTTAGATGAAAACAGGTTTGGAGCCGTGAACTCTTTTGGTTCTCAAGTTCCAAAACAATTTTTTAAAGAAAAATTAATTTTCTAATCAAACCATTAATTAACTTGCAGCAAAATCTATATTATTAAATAAGCTTATACAGGAAATTGCAATACGGTAAGCTTGTGTTTAAGGTGCTACTCCATTTGCCCTGGAGTCTTTTAAGGACTTTACCAAGTGGGCATCATGTCTGGGAACCAGACTCTACCAAGATGCTTTGAAACCTCCCAATGAATCTGCTCTAAACTGTATTTCTGATCAGGAATCAAAACTTCCTCCATAATAGAGAGCTGAGAGAGGCGACCACCACACATCTTCACAAACTCCACAAAGGCACTGCAAGAGACTTCACATTCTCCGAGGCCCACGGCCGACAGGTACTTGCACCGCTCCGCGATGCAGATCAGCTCCTCGTCCAGCGGCCGCAATCCATTGGCACACACCACCAGTTCAACCAGCCGCGGGCACGTCATCCCAACGCGGCCCAGCACGTCCTTGCTGACTGACCTTCCGAAGTAAAGGTGAGTGACGGGTATCTCGTAACGAAAGAACGGGTCAAACTCCTCCTCATACAAGAAAAAGTACATGACTAAATTTACTTTAGGAGAATGCTTGATGAAAGCGTCCCAGCTGCTCTTCTGAATCGTGTGGAACTGAGTCTGTCCGGGATTTTCACTGACCACATCAATGCGCAAGTGTTCTAACCTGACGTGTTTCTCCGAAGACAGAGCAAGCAGCAACTCATCGCTCAGCAGGTGGTAGTTCAGCGCCAGCTCACGCAAGCCATGGCACTGGTCAGCCACACAAAGGATACCTGTGAGAAGACAACACGATGCAGGGCGTTACACAGATAAAGGCACTGATGACTGAACGTAAAACAGGAGGGAATTTGTTTATGTGTGTCAGGAGGGTGCTATGGGCACCTATTTCAAATGTGCAACCAAAACCTTAAATCAAAACCAAATCAAACCGGACAAATGGAACATTAATCTTTTTCACAAGCAGGATCTTGTGACTTCTTTGTACCTACATGTGAGACAGATACACACAATGTGACTACATCTCTATTTTGCTGGGAATCAAGAAGTGAACAAACACATAAACAGAAGTGACAAATATATAAACAACATATTCTGACTGTTCATCCTTGTTGTAAGACCATATACACTCAACCTCATTTTTGTAAAACGTCCTTACTCATGATAAAAACTATATCCTTAACCAGCTCTGGAAGAACTGCTGAGCACTCTGTGGCTGACAAAGCAACAGAATGAAATTTGTCATCTGAAGAAAGCAAAAGTAAAATGAATGTTAGATTTTAATTCAATAGAGAGGCTGCTGCTGTCAGTATTTGTTTTTTCTAGGAAAGTATAAATCCTTAAATTTGGAAAAGTACAGCAAAAAAAGAGACAAAACCAGCAATTTTCAGATTTTCTTTAATGATTCAATATAATCTGCAGCTCACAGAAGACAAAAATATTAAAAAGAGAATCCGGGTCAGTCTAAGGTTTCCACTCACACAAGCGATGGTATTATACTGGTAGCAGTACTGAAAAAAATAAAAAGCACTAAGAACAGCATTCAGTCCTCTGCATTTCACGTGACCCAGAAGACTGCATGAAATGTAGGATACGGCCTTTCCATTAAGAGAAGGGATGAGAACATAGCATTTACATGGAACTGAAAAACCTCAATACACTGTAGTTCTGAAGCAACAGAAATTTCTGAAGAAATTCAGAAAACAGCAGTTATTTTAAAGTCCAGCTACTAAATTTAAGAGAAGTCTATACTGAGCATAGAAACACTTTCTTAAAAAAAATCACTGCAAAAACATTGCATGAATGAGGAGAGTCACTATGATCACTCTCTAAGGAAACTCAAGACATGCTGCTTCAGAATACCTAGGTTTGTTGAGATATAAAGTATTTTAGGCAGTTTCAAGATCCATATACATCTTCTCATCTCGACAAATCTTCTTGTCCTGGCTGCAATCCTTCCACAAATCTTTGTTAACTTTAGGGGTACATTATGGACCAGTGCAACGCAAAAAGGGAAGAGCTGGAGTTCAACTTACTGTGATTTTTATGGGTCTGGAACCGGATATGCATGGTCTGTCAATGCAATTATGCATGCTACATACAGAGTTAACAATGAATACAGTGTAGACAGCTACTAGAGAGCCTGCCTGGAGCCCATGTACTTCACAGAACACCCCTAGGCTCTGCCTACACCTTTGTGTCACTGAGAGGTAAACAGCTCTGCTCTCTGGTCTTTCAACACAGAGTTGCATAAAAAAAAAATCCCTGACTTATGATGTCCCTTATGAAGGCACACCTGGTCTGCTTCCCAACTCCCACTCCAAGAGAAGCAGCCCTCCTACCCCACGCCACAACACAAATATCATTTTTACAGGAACATTTCCCATTCCCTCTGTTCCAACAGTTATTATTTCAGAGCGGGAACAACAAACAGAAGTAACTTCCAAAAAGCTCACAAAGATTAGAAATACATCACTGCCTTTGTTTATCCAGCCCAAACTCAAACGTGCCTCTTTATCTTTGTACAGTGACAGAGCAATTAACTGTTTTATATAAATCTTATTCTTTATCCCTGCAGTAGTGGAGTCTCTTTTGCTCTAC